ACTGCCACGAATATCCAGAGGTTGACGACGTTGGGGTTGGATGTCTTCTAGTCGGGCATGGACAGCATGTGCTTCAAGCTGGCGTGGAAGTCGAGGTCGTCTTGGTGGGTCAACATGATGGTGGTGAAACTGCTCAGCTCTCTCTTCGCATTTCCCCAGTGTACTCCTACACATGGTACAGTGATATATCAGGGTTAGAATAGAGCTATCGGAATTAGAGATGCGATGTCAAGAGAGGGGCTTTACTTGGATCAGGTTACATCAGGTTACGTCAAATGGCATCCAACAAGGTTACTAGACCATGAAAGCTTACCAGACAGGGTGTCGGGGCGGAAGCATCGCGCTTCCATAGGCAATGAAGGGATTGCAACCACTCTAGAAACTTGTGCTCCCTTTTTGCTATCGTCCTGGGGTACAACCCTTGCTTGAATAGCCGCGTGCCATTGAGAGAGGCGAGATCTTTGAGCCGTCCTTGGAGCTTGCTGATGATGGACAGCACGACTGCAGTAGCAAGCTCTTGCAGTGAGCCCACGTCACCGCCACTAATATGCCCCTCAATGTCTTCTGTCGAAAGCTCGTACGTGTGTGTGGTCGGTGCTCCATTTGCATCGACACCATGAATCGTCACGTCCAACCCCGACGCATACAGTTGCAGGAAATCGTGCAAGTTCACCTCAGTGGGGCCAAATTGGGAGCCGTGGTTGACGTAGGGGCCCCACAGTGCCAGGATGGTGTTGTCTACCATCCTAAGCACCTGAGTGACATCGACTTGTCTAGAGAAATAGAAAGGGAAACTTTTATTAACATTTCATGTTAAGCTTAATATCAATGTTAAAACCCTCACCTGACGGCGTTGGAATATGAGATTCAGGGCATTGAGCTCCTTCAAAACGCCAGCCAGGAAATACAATAGAGAATGAAACCTCAAAGAAACTACAAGGTCATTCATTGCAGTGTCATACTCCCTCAGCAACAGAATAGCAGCAGGAAACACATCAACCAGTCGCTGGATGGCCTCACCCCGAGACAACCAAAGGATGTTGTATATCCCCTGCATCTCGAGGTTGGTCTCGATGACGACCTCTTGAAGCTCCTTGACGTGTGAGTGCACCACGATCGAGCGGCCGAGGATGTCGGCCAGCGATCTCACCACCATCCCGAGGGTGATGCTCACCAGTTGATGTCCACCCTTTGTGCCTCCAGGTGCGTCAACAGCACGGCTTGCAGCGATGCCGCGTCACAATTCTCGACCGTCAAGTGCGCGAAAAACTCTGTCACCACAACCCCCTCGCGTAGAAAAGTCAGGTACACAATCATGTGTTTTCCGCGACGCCCTCTCGTCTAGTTGAATGCCGATGAAGGGGCCGGCCTTGATGTGATTCATCTACTTTGCACGTAGGTAGCCGGCCACGCTTTCCCCTAGCTGGTTGAAGCCGTACCTATTCAATGAAATAGTACAAAAAACGGAATTAGAGAGAGGTGTACGACACTCGGATAAATCACAATCAACACCCATGCTGCAGTAGAGTTCAATTAAAGCATTGGACATACTCACTTTGACCTGTGCCGCGCTCCTTCTTTGGCAGATCAGGAGTTCCTTGATCTGCCATGAATTGAGCGAGCGAAACAAACATTTGTACAGGGGCATCGGACTTGCAAATGAAGTGGACGATTGCCATAAGGTGCTTGAGACACTTCACCTCCGTGTCGCCGTTTTCGAACTCGTTGATGGATCGCTGTTTCGCCTTCTTCCCATCACGCTGCTCCTTGCGCACCATCGCGGCCTCGTGCTTCGTGCTGTGTTGATGCTTTCGCATAGTCTGCTTCTGAATGTCTATCCCGCCTTCCCCGTTCTGCCCGTACTGGTAATCAGGATCATCTCCGTGCACCATGCAGACGGTTAACTTCATCAGGGGCGTCCCTCCGAAGTATCCGAGATGATAAGCTAGGGGAAATGACGCTGCCATTGCTCTTGCGCCTTTAGCTGCAGCTCTTCCAGCGACAAGGGAAACAGGCCGTCATCATCGGGCGACGAGCTGGGGCGAGGGTCACTGCGGGGGCGCTAATCGCCGAGGCGAACAGTGGGCATGGAGGCGGGGGACGCCGTGCGTCCAAACGTGAGCTTCCGCTGCTGGTAGCGGACCTTTCCAGACTTCCTCACAAGAAGGACCGGACCACCGAAAAGGCAAACGGACGGCTCGGCAGAAACCGTTGGCGCGACATGGGTGGAAGGACTATGAGGCAGCTCTGACGTAGGAGACGACGCGCCTTTAGGGACGAGAGTGATCCAAGGTTCGGTATCTAGCGGGGGAAGAGGGTTACTCAGGGCGGCTACAGTAGATGCAGTGCGAGGAGGTGCCGACGTGGCAACAGGAGCTGCGTGAGTGAGCAGGTCGATGCCAGAAACCTTCAGGGGAGCGTCAACTACGGGCTGAACGGTGGGGCAATCTGTTACTGGCTTTGAGGAACCAGCAGCGGATGCCATCACTCACACGCACTGAGGACGTTGTAGGCTGAGGAAGGGGCACACACGAGCGCAGAGTAGAAGGCTGAGTCGAGGCACGGAGGTGTCGAAACAGGTGCTGTTGCTAATGCTAGGAAAGGACAGACCGATGGGACATGTATTGAGGAAAGGGAGGTTTTGAGCTGCATTTAGCCAATGGCGCCTCGACATTCTGCATGGCTCGGTTCCTGATTTAGCAAGAAACCTACGCTGCACTGGCCTTCGGCGTGGGCGGCTTTTCTACCTTACAGGCTATGCGCTGGCGGAATGCTGCCCACGCGCACTGCGTGAAAGCTGGCAGCGAGCCAGCTCATGCGTTAATAGACGGAACGGTGGCAGCAACCTGAGTCAGGATTCTTGCCCCGCATCGCAAATTTATTATGCGTGCATTCCTTGGGGGGACAGGATGGCATAGGTGGCCCAGTGGGCACATGTTGTTAAAATTATATAAGTTATAATTTAATATAGGCTTGGTAGGTTGTTACTGAACCTTTCAGTAGAGGGTACAAACCCCTCCTTGTACTCCTCTCTCTTCCTAATCGACTCTCTTCTTTCTCGACATTCTCCTACCCGCTCCTAGATCTACTTTCCTCACGCCATTCCATGGCGGCATTCCTAGTATCCTAGCTGAGCTAGTGTCCTAACTGCAGGAACCTAGTCTCCTAAGTTCCTGAGACATGTGGATGCTGGGGATTGGCCTAGATGGCGGGTTTGTCGTAGTCAGACGAAAAAATCCCCGTTATCTGGAATCTCAGACAGCCTGGTACACTTGCTCGAGAAAATGATGACATTTATGCGCAAAACAATAGCTCACTCAATCTTCGTCACTGCCGCCCCGATACAAAAAAATCACTACACTCAATATATCCACTGTTTAATTACTTACCTCGATAGTAGCACAACTACTACATTAACGGGTATGTCAGTAGTTATAAATTTACTGTAGAACTGAGGGCAGCTTCATTGTGACCCGTTGTAAACCTCCTTATTACGCACATGTAGTTATTACAAAAGCTTAGCTTATCGCCTTACAATCCGTTTTATCACAACACAAAGCATGCAAAACAAGGTGGTTAATTTAGCTGCAATTACCTAGGGTTTTTGCGCAGATTCTTTCTCCTCGTAACGCCAACTTAGCGCATTAGGTTAGCTTGCCTACGCATACCACTAACACCTCCTTCCCAGCCTACGCAAGCACTGCTGCTGCATGGCCATCTGGCTGGTAGCCGTTCGCTGCACACACGAACATTGCCAAGCACAATATCAGGTGTGAAAGAGTGGCCTGCATCCATCCTTGCACAGGCCCGCGTAAGTCTGGGTTTGAAACGGTTTACAACACCAAGTAATTCCACGCAGACGCCCACTTACCCCGTGGCAGTTGCACGAAATTACCAACGAATAAAGGCCAGCTATACAGGGAGGGGAGGGGGAGGGAGGGAGGATGGGAGGGGGTGACAATGAGGATGTCGAGGAAAGGGGGGAGACAGAGTGCGGCAAAAAAGACGCAAGAAGGGCGGGCGGGGGGGGGGGGGGGATAACGAAAAGGGGGCAATGAGGAAGTGCTACAATCATACCTGAATACGGTGAGGAGCCACTTGAGCTTGATAGGGACGCGCGGCGAGCACCGCGAGAAGCTCACGCATCCCGCTTGACGTGCACCGCAAGTAGCTCGTGCGTCCCGCCCAACGTGCATCGCGGGAAGCTCACGCGCCCGACGTGCACCGCGAGAAGCTGCGCGACTGGCATAGGGGAACGGTAAGGAGGGGGAGTACGGGAGGAAGATGGAGAAAGATTATGCTCATGGGAATAGAAAACCTGAACAGAAACAAGAGGTTGGCTCGGGACGATGTCGCCACAAAACGTGTCTGACATACCCATTTGGTGTTGTTATCTGGGTCGTATCCAAGTGAGCCGAATAGAGGCGGAACTTCGTACCAAAAGCGACACTACAAGAAGCTGTTTCACATCACATATGTCGAGAGTTGATGGTACCGAGTACTTCTTTACTTGAATCCCAAGACGCCGAGCACACCCTACAAATTTTCGGGAAAACGCATGAAGCCAGGAGGTTCGCTCGAACTTGGATAAGTCAAGAAATAGACCAATGGGTATAAACCTAACGATGCATTCATTGGTCAGCCAGTCGAGGCTTACCCATCACTTTCATACCCCATTATATAGGGTTCGTAAAAAACTATTGTTCTGTCCATCATATGACACGCTTCTACACGAAATTCGCTTGTCGGCTCAAGTCGTGATCTTGTCGTCTAGCCAGAGTGCTCAGGCTCGGCTAGCGTCTTGGTCCGGACCCAACCTGTGAAGTTACCCGCAAGTCACCTCCAACCGAGCTTGCGCCCTATTGGCTGGTCGGACCCCACGCGACACCTGTCGAGATTTTCGCGATTTTCGTGCGCGTCGCCACTGCCCCAGGTAACCCCGATGGGTCTTGCATTGAACTTTGGATAGTCTGGGGGGTGAGGTTGCCCACGGGTGTCCCATGCTCCCAAGGGTAGAAGGGGTTTCAGGAATTTTGGGATGCAGACCTGACTGGCATTCCTGGGCGCCTCGGCGCGAGTGGCGGTCGCTCAGGAGCATTGCGAGCAAGGCAGGCGACTCGCGCACCGAGCCTCGGAGGAACGTGTTGGGGTCAGCTCGGCAGCAGAGAGGCTTCGCTTCGGTGAGAACCGTCGATCGGCTTGAACGCGTCGACCCGTCACCAGCGTGCGCGGCCGCAGCGGTGCTTCCCTCCGAGAGCCGTGCGATCGTCGCGTACCTCCACGTCACGCGTCGCTCGTTGCCTCGCGAGTTGACGCCGTCGCCTCCGCTCGCGCGCCATCCATCTGCTGCCGGCGATCGTGCCTCAGGAGCAAACGCACGTGCCTCGTTGTACCCGACCTTGGAGCAAGCCAGCCTTGGAGCAAGCCAGCCTTGGAGCAAGCCAGCCTTGGAGCAAGCCAGCCTTGGAGCAAGCCAGCCTTGGAGCAAGCCAGCCTTGGAGCAAGCCAGCCTTGGAGCAAGCCAGCCTTGGAGCAAGCCAGCCTTGGAGCAAGCCAGCCTTGGAGCAAGCCAGCCTTGGAGCAAGCCGGCCTTGGAGCAAGCCAGCCTTGGAGCAAGCCAGCCTTGGAGCAAGCCAGCCTAGGAGAGAGCCAGCCTGGAGCAAGCCGTCCTTGGAGCAAGCCAGCCTTGGAGCAAGCCAGCCTTGGAGCAAGCCAGCTTGGAGCAAGCCGGCCTTGGAGCAAGCCGGCCTTGGAGCAAGCCGGCCTTGGAGCAAGCTGGCCTTGGAGCAACGGGTGCAGCAGAAAGGGACTTGGTTTGGCGATGGGGCGGGAGGATGGCGCGCGGAAGGAGTGCGACGACAGGGAAGAACGAGCGAACCAACTCAGTCGGCCCAGTAGTGATGCCGGAGCTGAGCCCTTTAACGGGGATGGCTCTCAGCGGCGTGGCAGCAAGCGGGCAGCTCGGGAGGAGAGGGGGGAGATGCGGCGGAGGGGAGGGGGAGAGGGGGACACTGGAGAGGGCTGGAGGGGAGGCGGCGAGGGGGAGGAGGAGGAAGAATCGCAGGAGGGCAGGGGAGACGCGGAGGCGGCAGGGTGGTGGCGTGGGGGCAGCGGAAGAGACGGCGGGATGGCGGCACGTGAGGGAGGGGGAGAGGGCGGTGGAGGGGTGGTGGGTGGAGGGAGGGAGGGAGAGAGTGAGGGAGATGGGAGGAGAAAGGAGAGGCAGGGCAATGGAGAGGAGAGCAGGGGGAGGGGGCATGTGGGAGAGGCGCGAAGGGGTAGGCGATGTAGGCGCCGGGGTTGGCGTTGGGAGTGGCGGTTATGGCATGGAGGTGGATGGGCGCGTGGGTGTGAGAGCGGGGGCAAGCGAAAAAGGAGAGGCAAGCAGCGGGATGCGCAGTGGCGGGACGACCGGGTGGCCTTGCTGCGCCGGAGCGAAAGGGGACCATGCAGGGAGGGAGCCACCAGCTCTATTTATGGCGGCGTGCGGCCGGCTGCCTGCTGTGAGGGGGGCGGCAAGACAGTGTCCGTGAATGTGCTTATAGGGAGGGAACGCGGGAGAAGGTTCGGAGAGAAGCTGGGAGTGGATGGAGTGATGGCTGCAGGGAAAGCGGAAGGGGGAAAAGGAGATAAGACAATCTCAGTGAATGTGCTTGTAGGGAGGGGAACGCCGGAAAGGATGACAAGAGAAGCCGGTGGAGTGGGAGTGATGGTCGCAGATAAGAAGGATGGGCGTCCAACAGCAGGGGGAAACGGGGATAAGACGGTCTCTGTGAACGTGCTTGTAGGGAGGGGAACGCCTGAAAAGGCGGGAGAGAAACAGGGGGAGAGGGAAGGAAGGTAGCAGGGAACGACCAAGGGAGAGCAACGGAGGGTAAGGGACCCAAATTGGTGTCTGTGAATGTGCTTATAGGGAGGGAGATAGGGGGAACCAGGATGGAGGCGAGCAAGTGGAAGAGCGGTGAAACAAGTGCGGAGATGGCGGGCAAGACGCGTGGTGAGAAGCAGAGTTGTAGCGACGGCAGGGCAGTGAGGGCAAGGGCAGTGAGGGCAGGTGGAGAAGCAGGCATGCGACAGTCACAGGCGATGGCAGACAGCGCGAGTTGCAGGCGGGCAGCAGTGGGGGAGTCACCAGTGCTTGCAGCTCTGGCAGCGGTGATGGGGACAGGAGCGAGAGCGATGCTTGCAGCAGTGGGCTCGAGATGCTGGGGGCGAGGAAGGGAGGAGATAGAACGCGCGAGGAGAAAGAGGAGGGCGAGAGGGAGATAAGGACAGGAGCCACGAGAGGGTAAAGACGAGGGGTATGGACAGAAATGGTGAGGGCAGGCAAACTGAGTTTGAGGGGGAGATGAGCGGCTGCAGGAAGAAATGCAGGGGGGGAGAAAACGAGGGAGAGAGGGACAGAGAAAGGCACCGAGGGTTGTTGCGGAGAGAAAGTCTGCTGCACGAGAGGGAGAAAGAGCAATGGACGTAGCAGGAGGAGCAACACATGGGGCAGAGCAAGGGCGAGCAGCTGTGGGCAAGAGAGCAGGGGATTTCCCGTCGGCACCGTTGTTTACTGATCGATCAACGGCTGCGGTTGCTTCCCTGTCTGCATATACATCAACGGCAACTGTTGCTCCACCTGGCTTCAATCTGCACCTGACCTCCCAGCCCATGCTTCTCCGTCTCCCTCCCCCCCTTGCCTCTCCCGCCCCCTTTCCGCTCCTCTGCCTGCCACCACCTGCCAACCCCACAGTACCACCTGCCAACCCCACAGCACCACCTGCCAACCCCACAGCACCACCTGCCAACCCCACAGCACCACCTGCCAAGCCTACAGCACCACCTGCCAAGCCCACAGCACCACCTGCCAACCCCACACCACCACCTGCCAAGCCTACAGCACCACCTGCCAAGCCCACAGCACCACCTGCCAACCCCACAGTACCACCTGCCAACCCCACAGCACCACCTGCCAAGCCTACAGCACCACCTGCCAAGCCTACAGCACCACCTGCCAAGCCCACAGCACCACCTGCCAAGACCACAGCACCACCTGCCAAGCCTACAGCACCACCTGCCAACCCCACAGCACCACCTGCCAAGCCCACAGCACCACCTGCCAAGCCTACAGCACCACCTGCCAACCCCACAGCACCACCTGCCAACTCCACAGCACCACCTGCCAAGCCTACAGCACCACCTGCGAAGCCCACAACACCACCTGCCAACCCCACAGCACCACCTGCCAACCCCACAGCACCACCTGCCAAGCCTACAGCACCACCTGCCAACCCCACAGCACCACCTGCCAACTCCACAGCACCGCCTGCCAAGCCTACAGCACCACCTGCCAAGCCTACAGCACCACCTGCCAACCCCACAGCACCACCTGCCAAGCCCACATCACCACCTGCCAAGCCTACAGCACCACCTGCCAACCCCACAGCACCACCTGCCAACCCCACAGCACCACCTGCCAACCCCACAGCACCGCCTGCCAAGCCCACAGCACCACCTGCCAAGCCCTGCGTCGTGACGGCCTAGCTGCAGCAGCGCTCTGCACCCAGGGAAGCACTTCTCCCCCTGCCCTCCCGCCTCCTCTCTCTGCCCTCCCGCCCCTCTCTCTGCCCTCCGCCCCCTGTCTCTGCCCTCCCGCCCCCACTCTCTGCCCTCTCGCCCCCTGTCTCTGCCCTCCGCCCCCTCTCTCTGCCCTCCCGCCTCTTGCCCCCCCAAGGCCAGCGCCTCAAGCCGCTTTAGAACCCCCACATCCCAACCTACCACTCATGAAGCTTCCAAACCGCATTCCTTGCCTTGGCAAGCCTCCAAACCTTCCAGGCCTGCAGGCTTGGTTGCTTCCTTGGCCCAACCGAGGCTGGTGTGCTGGCCCTGCCTGCCCCTGGTGGCGTAGAAATGGAGGGGGGGGGAGGGCAGGCAGGGGCGAAAGGAGTGTGCGGGGTGAGAGGAGGGTGAGGGGTGGGAGGGTGGTGGTGGGGTGGATGGGGCGAGAGGCAGTGCTGCAGAGGGGCAAGGGAGGCGGAGAGAGTTGCCAGTGCGGTTGAATGAAAGGGTTGGGGGAGAAGGAGGAGTGGATTCGAGGAGAGGGGGGAGGCGTGGGGAGACGGGGAGGGAGAGGGGGAGTCAGGAGGAAGGGGAGGGTTGGGCAGTGAAGAGGGGGCGTATGGCACGAGGCAAGGCGGTTAGAGCGATGCTGGAAGTCTTGCCCAGTGGTAGTGGCGATGGTGGAGGTGGTGGTGGTGGTGGTGGTGGTGGTGGTGGAAGGGCAGCAGGAGCAGTGGGGAGAGTGGTGGCAGTGGAGGTAGGGGTGGTGGTGATGGAAGTGGCTATGTTGACGGTGGTGGCAGGGGAGCTGTGGCGGCAGGGGCAAGCGATGGTGCTCGCCGTGGTGACAGCCACGGCTGCAGTATGGAGGCGGCTGGCACGCGCAGATACTGACGCGGTCGTGGTGTGGGAACAGGGAGCCCGTGCGGGGTAGCAGGAGTCAGAGGGCTTCAGGGTGGCGGCTGCAGCACCGTGCACCAGACCTTCGCCCGAGAGGGAGGGTGAGAGTAGGGGCGGAGACGGAGGCAGAGAGGGAGGCAGAGAGGGAGGCAGGAGGGAGGCAGAGAGGGAGGCAGAGAGGGAGGCCATGCGGAGATTGGGCTTTGCCCCCCACTGAGGAGAAGGCGGCGAGTTGTAACGGGCGGAGAGGCAGGAGGAAAGTGGGGGGAGGGAGCGGAGGAACGCCCGGGAGAGCGGTTGGCTGGGAGCCGCACTGCTGGGTCGCATGGGAGCAGCTCTAGCATGGCTGTGATGCCAGTAGCTCGGATGGTTATGGCTCGGTTGGTGATACCTCGGTTGGTGATACCTCGGTTGGTGATACCTCGGTTGGTGATACCTCTGATGGTGATACCTCTGACGGTGATACCTCGGATGCTGCAAGCTCTCATGGCGGTACCTCTCTTGGCGGTACCTCTGGTGAGGCTAGGTCAGAAGCGTCACATGAGTGCGGAAGCGAGGATGGTGATGCTGCCTGTGGCCATGGCAGTGGCACTGGGGTGGGCGGTGAAGGGGAGGGCGGCAAGCATTCTCCCCAGCGCAGGGAGCAGAGAGGGGCGGGCGAGGGAGAGGAGGAGCAGGTGGAGCACGGCGTGATGGCAGAGGTGGGTCACTCAGCGTCTTCTGTGCTGCACTGTGCACTGTGAAGTCCAGGCGTGATGGCAGGCGGGATGGCAGGCGGATGGCAGGCGTGATGGCAGGCGGGATGGCAGGCGTGATTCTTTGTGTTGCCCGCTTACTTTCCACTTGAGCACTCTACAACCTGCACTGTGTCCCCTCCCCATTCCGCACCAGCTCGCATCAATCAAGGCTCGCCTGGAAGAAGCACTGCTCTCAGTGGAAGCGGTAGGTCAATACCCACTACTTTGCTCTCACGGAAAAAAAGCACACATTCTCCTCTGCCCAGCCCCAGCCCCACGATTGGGTGTGCTTTGATTTTCCCAGTACTTGCGTGGTTGCAGATTTCTTCAGCATTTCTTCAAAATCTCTTGACTTTCTGCAAGACATTTCAGTTAAGAGCACAATGGCGTGAAGAAGGATACTTGCCATGCAACAGCAACCCACAGATGCCCAGTCATTCTCTTCCTCCAACCATCCCCCCCCTCCTCCCTCCAGCTGCCCAAGGCGCGTGTGCTGCTGTGGTACCTGGCCGGTCTTGACATCTCCCCGCCTCTCCTCCGCCGCTCGGGCCTCCTCTCCTGCATCGCCTGCCTCGCCTCTCTCCCCAACCCCTCCCCCGTGCCAATGCCCCAGCCACACCACACCACATGCCATGCATCTGCTGCTGCTTCTTCTGCTGCTGGCGCTTCTGCTGCCGCTGCGGCTCCGTCCCAGCAGTACGGGCAGCAGGCAGGCGGCGCAGAGTGGCAGAAGCAGCAGAGGGAAAGCACATGGCTGAGAGGGCGCGGCTGCTGCTGGCGGACCGTGCGATGGCGCTGCAACAGACAGTGGACCGGGGGAGGGGTGAGGCAGCACTGCAGAGTGGGCAGACTGAGGCAGGCAGCTCAGGAGTGTGTCTGCATGCATGCAAGGCAACGGCAGTTGAGTGCAGTCCTGCGCGCAGGCATTGAGAGATGCCACAATCTGGTTAGCATATTTATGATGGCTCAATTCAAATGGATACTTATAATGGTAGGAGTGATTGTGGTGCATGATGCATACAGCAGAGGAATGTGAACAAGAGCTATACCAGTGAGAAGAAGTTAACATCATTGTAAATCATGACAATCGCTAGTATTGTATGGTGTACCACATTGTTATATATACATAAGCTATGCATATGCTAGTTGAAATACTACCTCTACCCTGTCAACTCATATATGTTATGCATGTAGAAGCTATAGGCTAGTATCGGTGCGTGCTCCTAGTGAGTACAACCCAACTGCTATATGTGTCATGTTTTCCCTTCTAGTAATTCATTCACGTATTCTAACATGGTATCGAGTAGGTTAGGTTCACCGCCCGCTTCTGCCCGCGCCCTAGTCTCTCGCCCGCCCCTAGCCGGCCCCCTGGCCGTCGCGTCCGCCCCTAGCCGGCCCCCTGGCCGTCGCGTCCGCCCCTAGCTGCCCCCCTGGCCATCGCGTCTGCCCCTAGCTGGCCCCCCTGGCCGTCGCGTTCGCCCCTAGTCGGCCCCTTGGCCGTCGCGTCCGCCCCTAGTCGCCCCCCTGGCTGTCGCGTCCGCCCTCAGCTGGCCCCCTGGCCGTTGCGTCCGCCCCTAGTCGGGCCCCTGGCCGTCGCGTCCGCCCCTAGCTGGGCCCCTGGCCGTCGCGTCCGCCTCAGCTGGCCCCCTGGCCGCCGCGTCCGCCCCTAGTCGGCCCCTGGCCGTCGCGTCCGCCCCTAGCTGGCCCCCCTGGCCGTCGCGACCGCCCTGGCCGGCCCCCTGGCCGTCGCGTCCGCCCTAGCTGGCCCCTTGGCCGTCGCGTCCGCCCTAGTCGGCCCCCTGGCTGTCGCGTCCGCCCTCAGCTGGCCCCCTGGCCGTCGCGTCCGCCCCTAGTCGGCCCCCTGGCCGTCGCGTCCGCCCCTAGCTGCCCCCCTGGCCGTCGCGTCCGCCCCTAGTCGGCCCCCTGGCCGTCGCGTTCGCCCCTAGTTGGCCACCCTGGCCGTCGCGATCGCCCCTAGCCGGCCCCCTGGCCGTTGCGTCCGCCCCTAGCTGGCCCCTTGGCCGTCACGTCCGCCCCTAGCCGGCCCCCTGGCCGTCACGTCCGCCCCCAGCCGGCCCCCTGGCTGTTTGCGCCCGCTCCTAGCCGGCCCCCTGGCCGTTTGCGCCCGCCCCTAGCTGGCCCCACTGATCGTCGCGGCCGCTCCTAGCTGGCCCCCCCTGGCCCCATGCGCCCGCTCCTGGCCGGCCCACTGACCGTCGAGCCCGCTCCTAGCCAGCCCAGCAGCGCCGCCGGCCCCTCCTCGCGCCCGCCCGGCCCCCAGCCGCGCCTGCCCGGCCGCCCCGCGCGTGCTAGGCCCCCTCTAGCGCCCGCCCGGTCCCAGTGCGGACCGCCCGGCCCCTCCTCCTGCCCGCCCGGCCCCTCCTCGTGCCTGCTCGGCCTGCCGTGCCACCTCGGGCCCCATGTCCTCTGCTAGCCCGCGCTGGGGCGCCCCTGCAGCCGCCCTACTGAAGAGTGCTGCCGCCGTGTCCCCGTGCCGCTGTGCTCCTGCAGAGCTGTGGAGCTGTGCCGCCGTGTCGCTGACCCTGCACGATGGCTGACTTCGTGCTCCGCCTGGACGCTGAGGGCCACGCGGTTGACTTCGCCGCCTGGCTCTCCGATCTCCGCCGTCAGCTTACAGGTCAGCGCAAGGATGGACACTTGCTGGTTGTCCATGCTGATGGCTTGCTCCCCCGCCCCCCTACACCTGCTCCCCTCCCTGCTGACCCCACCTCCGCTGAGAGTGAGGTTTTCTCTACTGCTGCGCTTGCCAGTGCGGTCTGGGACTTACGCGATGCAGTAGCTCAGGTTGCTATCAGTCACGCCCTCCCTGTGTCTGAGCGCTCGCGTTTCGATACGGTTGATACGGCCAAAGCTTATTTAGACGCTGTTATTGCTCGCTATTCCACACCTGCATCCGCTTCTGCCGGCCGCCTGCTCTTCCCGATGCTGTTCCTAGACCTTGCTGCCTTCCCTACTGTCGCAGACTTTGCCACTCACTTGCGTGCCCTAGAGACTCGCTATCGCACTGCCAGCACTGGTGCCCAGCTCACTGCGCTCGCCCCCCCATTCTGCATGACCCTCTATTTTATCGCCATGCGCCTGCCGGACCGCCTAGCTAGTGCCCGCGACCGCTTCCTTAGCCAGCACCCGGGTGACCTCACACTGATCGCCTTTGTCGACACCCTCACCGAGATCGAGACGCGCCAGCGCACTATCGCTCAGTCGAGCGGTGCGCCGACAGTCTCTATCTTTCACGGCTGTGCCCCCTTTCAGTGCACGTTTACTGACGTTTCGGCTGCAGACGCCACTGCGACCCCTCTTACCGAGACGTTTCGGCTGCGGTCGCCCGGTGGCTGTGGCCGCCAGGGAGGTCGTGGTGGTGGCACTGGTGGTGGTGACGGTAGTCCACCTGAGGGGACTACCATAGGTGGGCAGGAGCAGACGCAGTTGCCTTCGCAGCCGGAGCAGCCCCAGCAGCAGCCGCCGCCGTCGCAGCCGTGGGCTTGTCTCCCACCTGGTTGGCCCGGCACCTCCGGCGGTGGTGGCCGAGGTGGTGGCCCGCGCAGCTTGTGTGTCTACCGGCAGTTCCAGTGCTGTGACGTGCCAGTACCAGCTTCAGATCGGGCCTCTCCGCGACACTCTGTGCCGCCGCCTGCACCCGACCGCCCGCTGTTTCCGCCGCCTCGACGATCTCTTTTGTCGTCGCTTTGGCCCGGCCCCGGACCTCCCCGACTGGCACAGCCTGCTTCGCCAGGGCGTGCCGATCTTTGAGTTAGATATGGATCAGATAGGTGCTGCTTTGCATGCTTTGTATGCTGACGCTTCTAGTGTTGCTGGATCTTATTACCATGTGTACTCTAGTTTAGGTGTCTCACCCTTGTGTAGCTTAGCCTCCCCTGCTGCGTCAGGCCTAGGACTGCCTAGTTTGCCTAGCCTAGGTTCTGCATCGGCTCCGTTCCCAGCCTCCGCCACTACCTCGCTGTCCTTCACTCTCGACTCCGGTGCTTCTGCCTGTTTCTTCCGCGACCGCTCCACGCTCGCACCGCTTGCTGCGCCTGCTGTTATCGCACTCGCCGACCCCTCTGCTGGTCCTGTCGTCGCTCGTAGCTCCACTTCCCTTCCCTGTCCGCCGTTCCCTCCGGCTCCCTTACAGGCCTCCACGTTCCCTCGTTCTCTAGGAACCTGGTTGGTGTCGCCTGTCTTCAGGACCTCGGCGTCACCACCACGTTCCTTGGGTACGAGCGGTTTGCTGTCTGTACGAGGCTGCCACACGTTCCCCCTTGCGACGTTCCCCCGGGACCCGGTGTCCGGTCTGTTTACCCTCGACACCACTCCCCCACCGATTGGTGCGTCCTCCCAGGTCGCTGCAGCTTGCTCGTGTCGGTCTCTCACTCACCCGTCCCTTTTGTGGCACCACCGCATAGGTCACCCTGCACTCCCGCGTCTGCGTCACATGTTCCAGCACGGTCTTGTCTTAAGCCTCCCCGCGTCGCTCCCCACCCTTCCCCTCTCGCCTGCTCCACCGTGCACACCCTGCGTCGAGGGCCGGCTCCGCCGTGCCCCTCACTCCTCCTCGTTTCGCCCAGCTACTGCTCCCCTTCAGACCCTGCACCTGGACGTTTGGGGCCCAGCCCCTGTCCCCGGACCGCGTGACGAGCGCTACTTTCTTGTGCTCGTCGACGACTACAAGCGCTACACCACTGTGTTTCCCCTGGAGCGGAAGGCCGACATGCCCGACGTTCTTCTCTCGTGGGTTGTGGCTGCGCATCTTCACCGCGGTCTCTCCGTGTTGTGTCTCCACTCTGACTGTGGCGGCGAGTTCGCTTCTGGTCGGCTTGGACAGTTCTGTCATGCGGAGGGCATCACCCAGTTGTACACCTTGCCAGACTCGCCACAGACGAATGGGGTTGCTGAGCACCGCATCGGCTTGGTCATGGAGGTGGCTCGTACCTCCATGATCCATGCCGGTGCACCCCATTTTCTGTGGCCGTTCGCCGTTCGCTACGCCGCTCACCAGCTTAACTTGTGGCCACTCTCCCAGCAGCCGCAGGTTTCGCCGACCCTACTTTGAATCGGGTCCCCGGTGACGCGTCTGCGTTCCACGTATGGGGCTGCCTTGCTCACGTTCGTGCCTCTGGCACGGACATGCTCACTGCCCGCACTGTCCCCTGTGTCTTCCTTGGTTTCCCCTTGGACTCGTCTGACTAGCTCTTCTACCACCCGCAGTCTCACCGCTTCCTTCACTCTCGTGACGTCACCTTTGACGAGTCCGTCTCTTTCTACCGTCGCTTCCCTCACCGAGGTCTCCCGGTTCCCCCCCCCTGTTCCTTGCCCCCTCTCCCCCGGTAGCCCCTCCTCCCCTCCTGCCTCATCCTGCCCCGTCTGGGGTCTCCCATGTCACTCCCCTCCCGTCAGTTGTCCCCGTTGAGTAGTCTGCTGACTCTGGTGGTCCCCCGCCCCGCCTTTGCCGCGCCCCCCTTCCCTAGTGTCTCCGCCCCCGCTGTCGCAGTCGCCGCCGTCGTCGCCGCCACTGCCGCCGTAGCAGCCGCCGTCGCAGCCACCGCCGCCGCCGCCGCCGCTGTTGGTGCAACCCTATGGCTTGCACTCGGCTTGTCGTCCTTGTTTGTGTGTGTGCATGCATGGCATGGAATGAATTGTGAGTCTATGTCATTGCTATCCAGTGCTTGTGTGTGTGTTTGAATGGTGTATCACAATGTGGTTTGTGTCGGTCAAGACATTAGCGAGTTTTTACAACTCGCATGTCAAGTCGTCGTTTGTGTGTCGCATGTGTTTTTTCTATTTTGTCGAGTGTGAAGTGTCCATCGTGTCGCAGGTGTGTGCAGCAAGCCCCCATCAACTCAAGAAGAATTTATCTTGCAGATCCAAGAACAAGAGCTCAAGATTTCAAGCCCAAGGGACGCGGATAAATATTAAATAGTGAAAATAGTAACGTTACTTCGTGTAGTGTTACATTTCACTTGGTGTAGCCCCTTGGAGGGTTGGTTTCGAGACTCTTCATGGTTGGGGACTCTGTGGTGGTGTACCACCAACCTGGACCTCGGCTCTTGGGGTATGTAGAGGCTGGGAACCATCTCCCTCTCGAACTCTTCTTGCTAAG